ATTTTCCCCTCCGACCTCCTCATACTGCTGCTCCGCCCGCATCCAGGCTGCTGGTTCCTTATCGCGCCAACATGAGGGGATTAGCTCAACGTTAAAACAACTTTTGAAATTCTAAAAAAACAAAATATAAACAACAGGTGTTTTCTTTTTTTAAATTTCCAGCTGAAGCAGTTTGGAACTCAGGAGTCCTGACGTATGAAGCAACACGCGGTGTGTTATTATGTCTGGTGTGTTGGTGCTGCTGCAGTGTGTGGAAACTAGAATGAATGTAGAACCTCAGACTGGATTAAACGCTCACTATATTCTGGAGGCTTTTGCCAAAACGCCAAGTGTGACTGTTCAAACAAACATACGCACATTTTCCACTCGCGGGGATCGCTCGCTGTCTGCTGTGGGCTTGTGTGTGAACATGTCTGGGGTAGTTGTGGTGTGTAAACACACACACACACACACACACACAACTGTCTTTACTTCACACAACATGTCTGTAAAACTCACAGGGCCATAGAGACACGTCTATCTCTGCTGGCCGTTCCAGCTTTTTCCTGCTGACTCAGCGATATACATCACATCACTATTAACTGGATTATACTTGTTGACATTTAAACATAAACAATAAATTACCAGTAAGTTTGGATTTATTAAAACAAATTATAAAGCAAGTCCTTGCAAAGGGACATTTGTGCTTCAAACTGTGCTGCCAACCAGAAAGAAACTTTTTTTTTTTTTTTAGCTGGGGCATTACGGGAAATAAATTATTATCAGTTTTATGTTTATGTAAATCAGCGTCAGGGCAAAAACACAACATTACTAAAAGACAGGTATTGTTTGCCACATACATCTCTGTCCAAATTCCAGAGTAAGTACAAATCTGCTGGACACTTTTTGTTGTGCTCATATTTAGATGTCATATTTTGCAAATGCTGCCTTCCTGAAATTTGGTATGCTTGTTTGTCTTTGTGTCTATGGTGTATAATGATGTGATTGTGATGCTGTATTTCTGAGTGTTTTGTGTGCTGCAGAACAGGAACCTGCTGTTAAATAGCAATTATGCTGAGTCAGGCTTGATTTTTAATAATCTTTTCCTGTTAAACAAATAAATCAAATCAAACAATACTTTGTTACTGTACTTAAGTAAATTTTTTGGGTATCTTTATTTTTCAGCCGACTTTTTACTTCTACTTCTCACATTTTCACACAGTTATCTGTACTTTCTACTACTTACATTCTTTAAAAAAGGCAAGAAGTAAAAAATTGTTACTTTTATTTCATTATTGCTTGTTTTCATTCCAGCTTATTATAAAAAGCAAATACTATCCATATAAATTGTGCCTCCTAGATAGAGTGAATTTAACTGTGGTTGAATGAGAAGTATAAATAAATAAAACTCTGATACCATACACTAAAAAATCATGTCACACTCCAGCAGGACATAATCATTAAAATAAAATTACTGTACTTAAGAAGTATTTGTATTTCATGAATTATATTATTGCATTTGGCTGCAGCCCTCAGATAGATTTTCATTTTGGGGAAAAGGTTTGTGCAGCCTTGATACTCAATGTACAGTATATAAACTGAAACAGCTGGACTAGTGCATCCTGAATTTAACATAAATTAATTATTTTAATATGACAGTCATTTCTGCATTTGTGTTAACCAGAACCACTTAAATCGTCTTCAGCTTGTCCAAAACCCGGCAGCAAGACTCCTAACCCGAACCTCCAAATTCACCCACATCTCCCCGATCCCAGCAGAACTTCACTGGCTTCCGGTTCAACTCAGAATCCATTTCAAAATCCTTGTCCTCACTTTCAGAGCTCTTATGGCCAAGCCCCAGAATACATTAAATGTCTCATTTCCCCTTACAACCCCAGACGAGACCTCCGCTCACAGGATTAACACCTCCTTATGGTTCCCCTCACTATAGTTATGTTTTGTTCTCCATTGGTTTCCTAAATAAAAAGACCCCACAAGCGTTTCTACAGTGAAGAGATTCTGCATGGCAAACTTACAAAACCAAAAAAAAAAAAAAAAGGAAATCTAAACTACCCGGTCCTTCTGTCCTATTAGCCATGAGAGCAGCAAAAATACTTTTATTAGATTACCCAGGAAACATGATATCCATCTGCTGCACTGAGCTGTACTTCCTCCCAGTCAGCACCAGATACAGCGGGTAAAATAAGTATTGAACACGTCACCATTTTCCTCAGTAAATATATTACTAGAGGTGCTAATGACATGAAATTTTCACCA